TTAGGATTTAGGGTAACTTTTGTTAATAGAAGAGTATATATGGATTTCAGAGGCATTAAAAGAGGATTCAAAAAGACTCCAATTTCATTTTAATCCGATTTCATTTTAATCTGCCACAATTATTGATTTTTATATTGATAATGTATTTAATGTATTTATGAAAATTTGGTTACTAGATATGGAATTGATCATTATTTGTAGTACAATTATTATTAATAACGCGCGTATTCCTTTGTGTATTACAAAAAAACGCATCTTTTATCAACCGCCGTTTTTTTCTTAACACACTGTATTTTCGCGTTTTATTCGCTAGTTCGCGTTAAATCTTTTTATATATTTTTAAAGTTCCATTAATTAATGTCTTTAGATTAAATTATTCTTTTGCTCTTCTTGTACGAGTTGGAACAACCCATTGCATATGGATATTGTTGTTCGTCTGGTTCGATATAATCTTGCTTTATCGATTAAAATTTCGCGCCGGATTCTTCGTATACGATGTAAAGTTTCCTATCAAAAAAAGGTGATTTTTCACAAAACCATAAAAATACAGCTACCAAGTCGCGAAGATATCTTACCTCAACACGAAGCATAGATATGACCAGTTTCTCTATAACTAGTAAATTATCGATTGATGAAGGTAACTTAACCTTTTGAAGTAGACCTAAACGCCAAATATTCATGATAAAGGATCAAAACAGAGGAGAATCAATTCGCAATCAGATAGTGACACTGAAGATGAAGAGGTCTCAGATCATGAAGTGCAAGTATCTGGAGAAGAAATTTCGGCAGGGAGGGTTTGTATTTTGATATTTTCCTAATGTTATCATATTTTTTTGTGCTTGCCTAATAATATCATCCTTCCTTTAACTTAGACTTCGACTGATCCCATTATAAGCTGGACTTTATCAACCGGGAAAAATGTTGGTGAGATATTATCTACATATCGGGAGAAGATTCCTCGTACCAAGGCATATCTATAGTGAGTTACACTTTGCAAACATATTTCTAGTGCCAACTTCTTAATATAATATTACCCGAATTTTGTTTGTAGCCCGGCCTATCTCGGAATTTTAGATCTTCCGGAGAAGATGTTGAGGTGAAGAATTTGTTCACGGACGATGAATGGGACGAAATGATCGAGGATTTTGGGGATAATGTTAACTTAAGTGATTTGGAAGTCGAACGGAAGAAGCCTCTCTATGAGCTGATGGACAAAATAGAAGCCAAATTTGTATTATCTATCTTTCATTTAACGTTTCAGCTAAGTACAACGATTCTTATATTAGAAACTGGAGACGAAACCCTCCGATTTAATTACCGAAATTGAAAGTTGTGTAATTGAAGTACGTATATCACTTGTATTGATTTCTTATGGAAGTACAGGCTCCAATGACCATCATTTATAGGATAACACGAAAATAAATGCAATTCGGCGCCTTATTCAGTCATAGTAAGTTCTTTTTTTTTGCCCATTCATGATATTGATTTTATTTATAACTTTAAGATCTAATCATCTTAAATTGAATAGCGCTTACAATCTACAACACTTACGTTTGCCGATGTCCGAAGCTGCATTTGGCAGCAATTTCACGAATATGCTTACAAAGAGATATTAACTTTCGATAAAATTTACCACTATGAGGAATAAGTCTTAATCGGTTATTTGCTTGTTTGTTATGTATTTGTCAAGATCATTCACCTATTAATAATTTGCCATGCATAGAGAAGAGATTCAGAGTCTTGCTTCATCAGTAATCACCAACATGAAACCCAAACCTACCGACAGAAGCTTAATTGGACAATAAGTAGATTTCAGAATCAGTGAAGATCAATCGAAATGTTGATTGGATTGAGATCCGGTGGTCTTCCCTCGGCGACAAAAAGTAAAAGATGGATTGATAAAGTGGATCTAGCAGTCGCGTTACGGGATGTATTGATAAACGAAGGAATAGAAAATAATGGCGTAGAACCAGACAAGTTTCACAAACTTTTTACACTTGGAGTTCACATTTAGTAAGTTTGATAATTATAATTGTTTTCGGTACATTCTTATAATATAACCCAACCTATTTGATTTTAGATTATAATTACAATGTATACGGATTAGATTGGAAAACAAAAGGCGTTTGGCGTTTAGGTCTACTTCAGAAGGTTAAGTTACCTTATCAATCGATAATTTGATAGTTATAGAAAAACTGGTCATATCTATGCTTCGTGTTATCTTCGCGACTTGGTAGCTATATTTTTATGGTTTTGTGAAAAATCTTACGTTTTTTTGATAGGAACTTTACATCGTATACGAAGAATCCGGCGCGAAATTTTTAATCGACAAAGCAAGATTATATCGAACCCGACGAACATCATCATATGCAATGGGTTGTTCCATTTGTGAACACGGTCGCTTAACTCGTACAAGAAGAGCAAAAGAGTAATTTAACCTATGTTAACTTAAAGACATTAATTAATGGAACTTTAAAAATGTATATAAAAAGATTTAACGCGAACTAGCGAATAAAACGCGGAAATCATACGCATCCCGACTGCAGAAAAAATAAATTGCCATTATTAGGGGTCCACTAAAGCCGGGTAGTTTCACGTGACATAGAATTCGATCCGGATCGTATAATGTGAAAAGTAATTGGCTGAACATATTATCGGATAATAATAGCGAACAAGACAATTAAAATTAGCAAACACAAAAAATTAAGGAATACGAAGATAATTATAGCAAATGTATAATAACAATTATGTATAATAATAATTATATATATGTAATTATTTAAATTTAATATTTTTTATTATTAAAAACTAGAGCTAATAATTTATTTAAATGTGTAATAAATATTTTAGTTGCTTTTACATTACCTTCATTTTTAATTTTCCAATACTTGTTTCACATTCTTTCCATAAGTTTACCAATTTGAAGTCTTTAGATCTCTGCTTCTTTTTCCACTTGAGTCTGAATTGCTTAGATAGCTTAATTATTTCATGATATTCATATATTTCAAAATCAACCTTTTCAAATATTCATTGGAATTTGTTTCAAATCTTAACTATTAATAGCTTATTAGAACTGAAAATGTGTTAATGAAGGATATGTCAATATAGAAGTAAATAATGATAAAAAAATATATAATTATATTAGAGTATTTATAGATCTGATAATAGCTTTTTCTTTATTATTCTTGCATTTATAGTTATAACTTCACTTATAATAATTTTTGAATGGAATAGGAAAATTTATATATTTATTTAAGAATCTTATTATCAAGATCAATTACAAAAATATATTTTTAGTAAAAGTTAAGAGTTATTTTTTCTGAATCAACCTATTTCTTGTCATTAAGTTTGATAATTTTGAAATATATTTCTAAATTATATAATAAAGAATAGATTATTAGCAAATTTATATTATAAAAATATAATTTATTATGTAATTTAGTAAACTTAGAAAATTTAAAGAGAATTAATCATATAATAAATTATATTTCATCTATTAATTCATATTTTTTTACTATTATTCTCTTGATTTTATTATGATAAGATTCTAGTAGATTTATTAAAATGATCTGTAATAAAAGAGAAAAGTATTAACATGTTTAAAGTATTTATTTTTCTGTATTATTAGTATAATTATAATTAATATAATGAATAATTTTAAAAAAGGATAAATAATAATAGTATTCTTAATAATTTCTTTATAATTGATATTTATTTTTTATGCATAATTAAGATCATTTAGTTATATATTACTAGATAATAAATTTTATATAATCATATTTATATAATATATATAATATAAAGAATAATATTATAATTTTACTTATCATATATAATAATTATATAATATATAATAAGTTAATAAGATTTAAATAGATGAATTATCTTTAATATTTTAGTTACTATATTATTATCTTTCTTACTAATAAAAAAATATATATTCATATTTTAATAATCAAATCTATCTTGAATATATAAGATGAAAAGATATTATATATCAAATTTATAAGAGTTAACTATTTGTAATATTATAATTTTTTTAATTAATTATAATTTATAAAGCAGAAATCTTGTAATACTTTTTGTAATTACTATATAATTTCAAAGTATTTAATTTGATAATTTTTATTAATTAAGAATTTAAAATATATTAAATATTAAATTCAAAATCTTTTTTATTTATAAGATATTTAGTTAATAATTTATATATATTTTATTAAATTTTTATTATTTTGATT